AAAGCATGTTGATTGTTACCAACTCAGTGCACATACCACTTTTCCCTGACTTATGCCACTTTGATGTGCTAGCCAAATTAGTTTTGTGCAATTGGAAAGTTGGTAGCAAATTTTGAAGTCATTTCTCACTTGTTATGACCCAACAGACTCAAGAAAGGACTCAAACAAAACGAGAGGAACAAAATAGGGGACATGGGAAAGAGATGATACCTAACAAGAAAATTACAAAGTAGAAACTTATCAGATGTGGATACCAACTCTAATGACCATGACATGTAGGGATTTGCATTCGAATCGATTATTTGTTATCGGTTTATCAATCTATCGATTTCGATTTTGATTTCGAAATTTTCCTTATCGAGTTATCGATTTCTATTTCAATTTTGTTCTCTTCAATTATCGGTTTATCGATAAACCGATAAGATATACTAAAAAAAATAAAAAAAAATTACCCTTATTCTATAATACCCTTTTCTTTACCTAAGTCTCTAACCTTATTATTTCATCTACCACATTTAAGGAATGATCATATTTAAAGCTCAAGGAAATGAAGTTCAAATTAATGGAAAATAGAATTATCCGTGATGATGTATTTTTTTTATATACCGTTGGAGTGTTGGTGGCATACATTTGATCCCTTACTTTAGTTTCATTGCATGTGCTTGTTGACATAATTTTTATGTTATAAACAGTGTTCATCTTATTTTATCTTCTTTTTGTCCATATTAGTTAGGCGTGTTTATAGCGATATACTTTCCGTAGAATCCCGCAAATTTTCTTATTTGTGTAATCGATAACCGAATCGATAAGCCCCAAAAATCGATAAATCGAAATCGAAAAAATCGAAACCTTATTGAAACGATAACGATAAGCATATGTACAAATCGATAATCGATAAGTAATTATTGATAAGGGTAAAAATCAAATCGATAAATCGAATGCACATCTCTAATGACATGCACCTTTGGATTAAGTGGCCTAATCTCTTCGCTGTGAAACTGGGCTTCAACGCTTCAATTGTCCCATTTGATCCACAATCCTCAATCGACTTGTAGTGCCCTGAAGGTTTTCACCATCAAGCCTCTCTCATTTTGTTCTTTTTTCAACTCACCATCGCCTTACGGTGCCCATGAGGGTTTTCACAGATAAGACTCTCTCATTTTGTCATTTTCTCTCTTTGTGCTGAGAACAAAATATTACCCATGATGCAAGAAGATCATTCTTTTACCACACACTTGATTTGACATCCTCAAAGATTGGTTGGAAGGTCTTTCTTTGGACCGTAATGTAGGCTTTTGGACAGGGTTGGAAAGAAAGGGTGGCATGAAGGCTCAAAATAATTTAAGATGAAAGGGTTCAAAATTACAACTTTTGGAATCAGATCTTTTGGCCAAAAGTAAAACTTCTGCCCCAGTTTCTTGGAGTTTGGGGAATTTTTTTCTTCTTCTTCTTTTTTTGGATTTTTGCTTTGATGGAAATTTCTAAGAAAGACTTCCCCACTCTTGACTTTGTGGGATTATGAAATATTTTATTTGGTGCGACCGAACCGTAAGGCTGCCTACGTATGTTGTGGTGACAAGAATCAGGTCGAACGTAGTTCAAACACGAAGTTGGATTATTATTGTTTTTTCCTTTTCTTTCTTTTTTATTCTTTTTCTTCTTTTTCTCTTTTCTTTTTCTTTTCTTCTTTTTCTCTTTCCCCTTTTTTCTTTTTTCTTTTCTCTTTTTCTTTTTCTTTTCTAGTTCTTAACTCTATTTTTGATTCCAAAAGAGGGGTCCGAAAGAAAATAATTTAAGGATCAAAAGGGGTAGCAAACGATAAAAGAGTTTATGTAGCAGAATAAATTGCTTTCGTCATACCAAACTTTAAAAATGTCAAGTACAAACATGCAATTGAAGATAAGCAAATAAATCATGCACATTATCTATTGATGGCATCATCACAAATAGAAAGTGCTGACGGGCAATACCTTTGTCCCAATGAATGATCCTTGCCAGTTCGAAGCAGACTTGATTCAACCTTATATTGAGGTGGAAGAATGCATTTCAGCACTGACTGATCTATCTCAAACTGTTCGAGATACATTTCATTGGTGTATGCTCTTATTAACCTCTTGATTTCCCAAACTAACTGCCTCGGTCACTCAATTTAAGCTTCAGGTTATCTCAGGATGCATGAATCTTTACTTGTTTCCTCAAATGCCTCCTTTTATTATATTTAAAATTGTGTCATTGCTTCATGATTAGACTAACTTTCAAGACTAGGCTGAGAATTATGCGCGCATGTCATGTCACTAGAGTCAGCATGAAAAGAACTGTAAAAGGAAAAGTGACCGGACAAAAACTGACTAGAACTAACAGAAAATAATAGATTGCATTAGACAGATGGTGAAAAAGGTTTAAACAAAACAAGCAAAATAAACATGGGTTACAACCCTATAACAATCCTAAATAACACTAGACGAGTTACTACAACTAAATGAACTAGACAAAATAAGAAGAAGAAAGGTTTGAGCCACAAGACAATGTCCGGATAAGAACCCCGAAATAACCTGGACAACAGAAATGACAACAAAATAAACTACCAAAACTCCTCCCTGGCTAGTCAAGAAAGGAGTGTCTTTCCAATTACCAAGTTCGACATCTTAGCCACTGGGTTGCACATCAAAATTACTGGGACCTTCACCAATTTCAATATCATTAACTTCAGTCAGCAAGTTTCCAAGAGGATTCTCATACTCTGTGTCACCATGCATCCTCCCCACAAAGTGTGCATCATCATGTGCAGGTAAAGGATTCTGCGCGATGTTCTGGGTGTCACTATCCTGGATCACAATTATCTTTTCATGAATCATTCTTTCTATTTCTTTTTAAATCCCGACAACTTTCGACATTGTGCCCCTGGGCATTGGAATGGTATTCACACCTTTTAGAAGAGTCAAAGCTTCTTGCACGCGGGTCCACATGATTCGGAGGAATAGGTGCAATCAGTCATAATGCTTTAATTTCTCAAACAAGCTTGCATAGGACTCTCATATTGGTGTAAAATTATCGTTCAACCTTTGTTTACCTCTATACCCCTAGCTTGGATGTGGGTTATGGGGCACTTGTAAATTTTGTGGAGGCTGGTGGAGATTTTGCAGTGCTAGCACTCGCCTTCTGCGGTGTCATGGTGGCTGGACAACATACTGAGGTTGAGCATCAGAGTATTGTGGGCTCTCAGGGGAATCGTCAAAAAACAAACGATGCTGGTCATGCTTTCGAGATGTTCTTCTAGGACCTCTTCTCGACCTTCATGTCATCATGATTTCTTCAACTTTCTCATTCGTGCCACTAAAATTACCAGATTCAATTTGGACAGCCTGAGTTGCAGCTTTGAGAGCTGCTTGACTTATAATTTTGCCTGACTTAAGGCCATTCTCTACCATTTCTCCCATTTTGATTTCTTCTGAGAATGATTTGCCACCTGGGGACATCATGTTTTGAAAGTAATCGGGCTCTTGAGCCTGTAGGAAGACAGTGATTAGCTCGTGGTCATCCATGGGTGGCTTAACTCTAGCTGCTTGTTCTCTCCATTTAATGGCATATTCCCTGAAACTTTCAGTTGGTTTCTTCTTCAGATTTGAAAGGGAATTACGGTCCGGGGAGATGTCAATGTTATATTGGAACTGTTTGACAAAGGCATGTGCCATGTCATCCCACACATTCCAGCAAGATGTGTCTTGACCCATAAACCATTCAGAGGCTACACCTGTAAGGCTTTCCCCAAAATAAACCATCAGTAATTCTACATTTCCCCCCGCACCTCTTAGTTGATTGCAATACCTTTTCAAGTGGGCTATAGGGTCTCCATGTCCATCATACTTTTCAAATTTGGGAGTCTTGAAACCAAGTGGCAAACGAATATCGGGGAACATACATAGATCCTTGAAGGCAATACTCTTTTGACCTACCAACCCTTGTATGTTTTTCAACTATTGTTCTAAGCTTTTCAGTCTTTGGGTTATTTCTTCCGGTGCTATCTTTCGGCCAGGCTTCTCAATCTTTGCAGGAAGATCAAATAGGTAAGAGTGGTACTCAGGAGAGTGGTATTGTTCTTGCTGGGTAACAAATTGTGACTCATGAGTTTTCCTCTGTACCACCGTCAGCTGTGGGATGATAAAGACAGGCATAACTGTAGTGGTTGTCTGATTGGTTGTCAATGGCACGCTTTGGGAGTACGCAATAGAAGTTCCAGCTATAGTCGTGCAATTGGGATAAAGACTGAACCTATATGGATAGAATTGATCGTACAATGAAACCGGAGTGCTAGTAGCCGAGATGGGTGTAAACTCTAGGAAAGCATAAGAAAGGGGTGGTCCTTGACCATTGGCCTACACTTGACACATTTCAGACATTTGTTGTTTCAGCCTTTGGACCTCCTCGTTCAATTAAGAATCCGACTCCACAATCTCTCTCGAAGGGTCGACAACTCCTATATCCAAGTCTTTGCTAGCCATAGCTTCCTTGCTTTTTGACCTTGTGTTTTATTGACAAATCACCAAAGTGCCACAAACTAACCACCCTCTGTTATAATGAAAATAACAAAAAGAAGCAAAACAAAGCCAACATGTTAGCGTTAGGACATTTATTAGATAGAAATATCACATTGCGTGCAATACCCCTAGCAACAATTAATGGTTCTAGAATGACTTCGAGGGTCACAAGGTCATTTGGCATCATCCCCATTTTATTCATTTCAACCTTCTCTTTTCTTTCTTTTCTAGCACTTCTTGGCTTGCTCATTTTCTTTCCTCTCTTTTTCTTTTTAATTGTCACTCTTTTCTTTCCTCTCATTTCTCACATCCACAATTTCATATCTTTTTTTCTTTTCTTTTTTTTTTTTCAAAACAAAATGATTCGATCGAACCCTATGTAGGTTGCCTACATATCATGTCCCTCATGAATCAGATCAAGGAGTTCTAGAAAAGTAATGGACAAAATAAATTAAGAAACAAAAATCTTTTTGAATTTTCCATTTATAACTTTTTTTTAAATACAAAACAGGAAGTACTATAACAAAAGACTCGAAACTCTTAACCAGACTGACAGACTCGATACTACTATACAAGACTAATAATTAAAAGACAACATAAAATAGACTAAAAAATAAAAAAATTTCCTCAAGCAGCTCGTGCATGCAATAGTCTTGACTAGGATTGTCCTGGGGTATTTGTCATGCTCAAACTCTAGCAAATTGATGCATACCTGAATGGGAAAAATGAGATCAAATAGAGTTAGTGACTGAAGACACATGCGACACCACAACACCTCTTGTTGGACACATGCAAGACACGATTGGGCTATTTTTTGAAAATTAATCTACGTAGTCAAGAGTGGCTATAAGTGCAAAATCAACAAGGGTGACTACTCAGATATGAAAATACCTTACTAATGCTTATATGGATTCAACTCCCAATAATCATGGCCCAAAAATTAATTTGCAGAAATGACCTATTTCGCAAAAACGGCTGATATGGCCAGGAGTAGCTAAACATGCAAGATTTGGCTAAGACCCCACAAAGCCAAGAACCTAAGACTTACTAGGAAGACCGAACCCTATGTGGGTTGCCTACGTATCCCGCTCCGAAAGACGAGAATCAGGTATGCGTAGTTCGGGAATATTGGATATGGGAGAAAGCTAAAAAAAGACACTAATTTGGAAAAATATATATTTTTTGTCTTTTTGAAAAATGATGGAAAATGTAAAATCTTTTTGTATTTTCTTGTTCTCTTTTTGTTTTGAATTTTTGGAAAATGATGGGAAAGTGTAAAATCTTTTTGGATTTTCTTTTTCTTTCTTTTTTTGATTTTTTGGAAAATGATGGGAAAGTGTAAAATCTTTTTGGATTTTCTTTTTCTTTCTTTTTTTGATTTTTTGGAAAATGATGGGAAAGTGTAAAATCTTTTTGGATTTTCTTTTTCTTTCTTTTTTTGATTTTTTGGAAAATGATGGGAAAGTGCAAAATCGTTTTTTGGATTTTTTCATTTTCATTTTTTTTGGTCTTTTGTTTTTTGGAAAAAGTTATGAAAGAAAAATATAACTGGGTCCTACTTGCTTCATTTTTCACCCTTCTTTCCCAAACATCGGTCTGCCAAATGACCTTTTTACCCTCAAAGATGAAACATGTATCACATAGGGATGATTGAATGTCTTTTTGGGCCACGGGCCCATTTTTGACAAAGTTTGGATAGGCTTCCTACAAAGGGACACGGTGCCTGGGACCGAGCCCTACTAGGTCCAAATGACATGATGCAAATAAGAATGACCTACAGGCTGACCTAAATTTGGGGTTCACTAGACAAGGCAATTCGGGGCGACACGTGGTCGATGGCGGCTGCTCCACGCCACCCCCCTAAAGACACGGATGACTCACGAAAAGACCGTGTACGCTCAAACATACTCCGGAAGACTTGTTGCAGAAAGAAGATCCATGGTTATGCAAATGATGATAAATTATAAAGCAGTAACACATAAAGGAAAACTGTAAAAACCAATAAGCAACTAGCAAATAATAAAACGACATAAACAAAATAAAGAGAAAACAAAACACATAAAAACCTCAACTGAATATCCTAAAAACCAACAAGATTAAGTACTACCTCGAACCTGCAAGTTCCCCAGCAGAGTCGCCAGAGATGTCACACCCCTTTTTTACAAACTTCAGTAACCCTCTTAAAATAATAAAAAGATTTTGTAAAGCTTGAAAAGGGTTTTAAATTAAAAAAAAAAGTGACAAAATTGTGTTCAAAAGGAAATAACTCATAGTCGCCACCTGACATTGATTTCGGTGTGCCAGGTTACCGTTTTTAAAAATAATTTTTCCTTTAATACACCTTGGACTCCAAACTAAGTCTGCACCAGAGATTCGGGTAAGGGGGTTCATTTGACTCGGGGAGAAGGTGTTAGGCATTCCCCGAGTTCCGTAACTAGTACGGTTGCGTACTCGATCTAGTTGACTTTTAAAATGGTCAAATTAAGGTAAAATACACATAAAAGGAAAAACGAACACACAACAGGCTCGAAGTCGTCCCCATCTAATAAAAGAAAAATGAAAATAAAAATACTACAAGTTCTACTTTCGGCCTCCAAATACAAATATTTCGGGGCATACCCCGGATAAAAATATATACAAATTGCGCGAGGCATTCACCAGATAATAAACTAAAAGAAATGACCTCCCGCCTTGAATGAAACAAAACAAGCGACCTACGATTTGCCTACCCGAGAAATAAAAATAAAGTAAATAAAGTAAAGTAACGGACTCATTTCAAGTCCAATTTCTTTTAGTTATCTTATGATATTCAAACCCCGTATATCCTTTCTACCTCTCTTTCAATACAGTTTCTTTTCCAATCTAAAGTGCATCATCAATTATTTGAATGACATCTAAACTTATACAAAAACTTTTTCTAGTAAGTACACTTAGAAAGGAGAAGCCGAATAAATAGGCACGATGCATTTTATGTATGTTATTCTGTTTTCTAGCTTCGGGTCATGGTATGAACTTACTTCTTTAACCAATATGTTATTCATTTTCTGGATTAAGAGTTGCAAACAAAGAACAAACAAATTTCGTGTCACAAAAAAAATCAATCACAAGCACATACAAAATCTAAAGCGAGAACAAAATGAGAAATGAACCTCAAAAGGAGTTATCAGATTTCCTTCGATACTCGAATGTTATACAAGACCCTTGAGCCAAAATCGAGCAAATCACAGCACGAACTGGGATGGAAAAACAGCAATCGGAAGTTACTCCGTGAACCTCGAACATGAACCCGAACAACGGGCACCACCCGCATACAAAACATCTGACACTCAAGCTAATTCTATATTGCAAAATGAAAATCGAAATCCAAAGAAGATGATGGAGACGAAGAAGCAGAAGAAGCCAGTCGTTGATTTGGGGAGGGTCTACGGTTGGGTTGAAGGTGAAGAAGCAACAAGTTTTGAGATGAGGGAGTGGGGTGACAGGCAGCGGCTATGAAGGGGTGGTGAAGGTGGTTTGACGACGGGAAACGGGGTGGTGAAGAGGAGTAATGGCTGTTTTGGTTGGTGGAATCAAGGTTCTGCCATTTTTGGTTGAAGATGGAGGAGCAGGAACGGCTGATTTCCAGCAGGTTAGAGGCTAGCAGCGGCAGCTATAGGTTCTGAAAAAGAAGAAGACGGGAGCCGATGGGGTAGGGGTCTAAGCTCTTAGAGAGTAGGGGTAGGGTGGGACGCCGATTTGTTGTCTCTTGGTCCTCTAGGGTTTGTTGTTGTCTTGTAGACGAAGATGGCTGCCCTTTTTTGTATGTGTCTTGTGTGTATTTTTAGGTTAAGGGAGAAGATGATAAAGGTTTAGGGTTTTTTTCCAAAAGCAAATCTGATGGGTAATTGGGCATGGGTAAGGTGTCTGGGCTTCAAATTTGGGCCTTAACATTGGGCTAAAAATAATTGTCCAAATCTTAGTTAAATTCCTCTTAATATAAGATAAATATACTACATAATGCAAAAACTAATCTAGTTAATTAAACTAATTATATACAAAATATGAAACTATTTTTGGTATTTTTCAAATGTAATACTAAAATAATAATACAATTATCGCAAAGTTAAAATAATACTACTACCAAAACACTAATATCCTTGAAAAATAAAGTGGAACTATTTTTGTATTTTTAAATTTTATGTAAAGTAGATAAAATAAAAGTAACAAGATAAAATATCAATTACCTAATAAAATAAAATATTTTGTTTTGGTAATTTTCAATTTTTGTTCTTAAAATAAAGTAAAATAGTTAAAACTAGGTAAAATAGCGATATTAGGCCTAAACTAAATATCTAAAAGCTAAAATGATTGAAAACTCGGGGAGGGTTAAAAATCACATGTCTACATAGCCCTCCGTTAAAAGTTAGCTTCTATTTTGTCCTTGCCGTGAACAAATGGGCTCGTATATGTCCTCCATCAGTAACGGAGTACTCATAATCCACGTGGAATAACATTGAGTTGGGATTAAAAGACCTTTATTTTTTATAAACTTTCCCATTGGATGGGGGTGTTTTATTAATCAAAAAATAGAGGGAAAGTGAGCTCCTTTTGCTTTGGAAAGAGCAAGTGTCCGTAATTGGTGGTGGAAAGAAAAGTGAACGTGCTTATATTGAGAAAGCACTTCTCTTGGTCTTATATGGGTTGGAAAGAAAGTGAGCCTCGCGTCGTCCGGCTCCGGCTTCAGACAAAATTTCTTTCAATTTTCTTTCCTAGGTTATTATAAATCATGTTCCCACCCGTTCCAACAAGCATGCTTGTTTTTGAAAGGTTACAAACCTTTTCAGAAACAGTGGCAGAAAATGGCTATAAATATGCCTTGATCCTAGAATCTTTTCTTATGAAAATTTTTTGTGCTTCTTCTTCTTCTGCACAAAATTTTTCAGTGTGTTTTACAACTATTAAGTGGTTCGAAGTTCATCAGAGTTTTTGGTACCAATACACTAGTGAGTTAAATCGTTCTATCCTGAAAGGATAATATTCCAAAACCTCAAGTACTTGAGGGGAATAATTTCTTTAAAGACACACTGTGTATTCAGTGGGCTAGATTTTTTTTCAAAATATATTTTTAGATTTTGCTTCAGATTATATATATACATTTCTGCTATACTACTGTTTTTTCTGTTTTTGTTTTTATTGTTACAAAAATATTACTGTTTCTTTATATTATAGCATTACAGTTTGACTAACAATCTTAAGGAAATTATTAATATATTTTAATCTATATTCTGCTTTGGAGATTAAAATATTTTGTGGTTTTCTACTCCGTCTGAACTTTTTTATTTCTGATTTGAAGATATAAAAACTTCATCGCAGTATTAAAATTCAGAAACGATTTGAAGAATATAAAAACTTCATCGTTTTATTGTGAAACAGTATATACAAAACTTCAGTTTTTGTTTATTTAACGTACTGTTAAGCATTTGTTATAGTACTATTTTCTATTTATTTTTTTCCATTAATTGAACTCTTTTGTTGTGGACAGTGGGAAATGGCAATTGATAATGGAAATTCTTTTGCGACTGTTGCGGAACAATGACAGCCTCGTCTAGCCGAACTGCTGCACCACTGGCCGAGAAACCGGGAAAATTTTCTGGAGCCAACTTCAAAGGATGGCAACAAAGGGTATTTTACTGTCTTACCACGCTTGGTATGCAAAAGTTCACCAGTGAAGACCCTCTATTGCCTGCTGCCGACATGCCAGACAATGAAAAGTTTTATGATTGTTGAGGCATGAAAAGAGGCAGACATTCTTTGCAAAGGATACATCCTAAGTGCTTTGGAGGATGACTTGTAAAATGTCTACAGTGCTAAGAAAACTTCAAAAGAATTATGGGGCACACTTGAGAAGAAGCACAAGACTGAAGATGCATGCTTGAAGAAGTTTGTGGTTGCCAAATTTCAAAACTATAAATGAAAGACATCAAAATCGTTGGAACCCAAGTTCAAGAGCTTCAACTTATTTTTCACGACCTTATTGTTGAAGGTATGGTAGTGAATGAAGCATTTTAAGTGGCTAAAATGATTGAAAAATTGCCTCCTTCATGGGAAAATTTCAAAAATTATCTAAAGCACAAACGCAAAGAAATGAAGTTGGAAGATCTTGTGATTCATCTCAAGATTGAGGAAGACAACAAAATAACCGAGAAGAAGTCTCGTGAAAATTCAACGATTATGGGAGCTAATATCCTTGAGGAGACTTCTCCAAAAAGTAAGAAGAGGAAGAGGTCTTCTGAACAAACTAAGGAGTAGAACAAGAAAAAATTCAAGGGCAACTGCTACAATTGTGGAAAAGCTGGTCATGAAGCCCCTTTATTGTCGTCTCCCGAAAAAGGGTAAGAAAAAGGGACAGGCCAACATAGTAGAGAAGAATGATGACATTGATGATCTGTTTGCAATGCTTTCGGAATGAAACCTTGTTGAAAATCCGAAGGAGTGGTGGATTGACTCTGGAGCCACTCGACATGTTTGTGTTGTAAAAGAAGCATTTGTGACTTACTCTACTGCTGGTCCCAGAGAAGAGATTTCCATGGGAAATACTGCAACATCCAAGATTGAGGGTTATGAGAAGATATTCCTGAAGATGACTTCCGGCAAGGTGTTAACAGTCAACAACGTTCTTTTTGTTCCTATTATTAGGAAGAATTTAGTTTCAACTTCTTTACTTGTTAAGAATGGATTCAAATATGTATTTCTATCTAACAAAGTTATTGTAAGCAAGAATAAAATGTATGTTGGAAAGGACTACCTCACATAGGGACTTTTGAAACTCAATGTAATGGTTGTTGACAGTATTAATAAAATTTTAGCTTCTTCTTATTTATCGGAGTCAACTGATTTATGGCATATTTGTTTAGGACATGTAAATTGCAAAACCTTGTGGAAGCTAATTAATTTAGAAGTATTGCCTAAATTCGAGTGTAATAAATCAAAATATCAAATATGTGTTGAATCTAAGTTTGTAAAACATCTTTATAAGTCTGTTGAAAGGAATTCAAATCCTTTATACTTAATTCATATTGACATTTGTGATATGAAGTCGACACCATCTCGAGATGGAAAAAAGTATTTTATAACTTTTTATTGACGATTGTACTCGATATTGTTATGTTTATTTGCTTAATAGTAAGGATGAAGTAATTGAAGCATTTAAACAATACAAGAATGAAATGGAGAATCTATTGAATAAAAAGATCAAAATGATTAGAATGATAGGGGTGGAGAATATGAATCTCCATTTGTAGAAATATGTTTGGAATATGGAATTATCCATCAAATTACTGCCTCTACACAACTCATCCAATGGAATTGCAGAAAGGAAAAACCGAATATTAAAGGAAATGATAAATTCTTTATTAACAAGTTCCGGATTATCATAGAGTTTGTGGGGGGAAGCTATCCTTACAGCTAACCGAATGCTCAACAGAGTACCCCACAGCAAAACGCAATCTATTCCATATGGAAAATGAAAAGGAAGAAAATCCAACTTAAAATATTTCAAACATTGGGGGTGTTTAGCAAAGGTATAAGTTCTTTTACCCAAAAGGGTAAAAATCGGATAAAAAACAATAGATTATGTTTTTATTGGATATGCTACAAATAGTAAAGCATGTCATTTTTTGTTCATAAATTTGATAATCCCGAAATTCAAGTTAATACGGTAATTGAATCAGATAATGCTAAATTTATTGAAAGCATCTATCCGTATAAAATTGAATGCGAGTCGTTGAGTGGAAGACCTAAACGATCACGGAAATAACCAAAGGAAAATACTCCAAGTGAAGAAGATTCAAGGCGTAGCAAACGTCAAAGAATATCTACTTCCTTTGGACCAGATTTTGTGATATTCTTGCTTGAAAATGAGCCTCAAACTTTCAAAGTATCTATGTCATCTACTGATTCAACATTTTAGAAAGAGACAGTCAATAGTGAGATTCAATCAATTTTGGATAACCATACATGAGAATTGGTTGATCTTCTTCCAGGAAATAAGCCTTTAGGTTCGAAATGGATCTTTAATTGAAAAATAAAAGTTGATGGCACTATTGACAAATATAAGGCAAGACTTATTGTCAAAGGTTATAGACAAAAGGAAGGCCTTGATTACTTTAACACTTACTCGCCAGTAATGAGGATAACATCTATTAGGGTGTTAGTGGTACTGACGACCGTGTATGGTTTTGAAGTCCATCAAATGGGTGTTAAAACAACTTTCTTAAATGGAGAAATGGAAGAAAAATTTTACATGGAACAACCTAAGGGTTTTGTAGTTTCTGGTAAAGAAAAGAAAGTATGCAAACTTGTTAAGTCGCTTTATGGACTTAAACAAGCACCTAAACAACGGCATGCCAAATTTGACCAAACAATATTGGCAAATTGGTTTAAAATCAACGAGTATGACAAATGTGTTTACATTAAAAAAAATACTCCAGGTCATGAAGTTATTGTTTGTTTATATGTTGATGACATGTTGATAATGAGCAAAAATATGGCAGATATAAATGCTACTAAGCGCATGTTGTCTAGCAAATTTGATATGAAAGACTTAGGAGTTGATGATGTGATATTAGGAATCAGAATTCACAAGATTCCACAAGGTCTAGCATTATCATAGTCTCACTACATTGAAAAAGTACTTGACAAGTTCAAGTAATTGGATTTCAAGATTGCCAAGACTCCAACTGATATGAGTTATGCACTTCAAAAGAATGAAGGTGAAAGTGACTCACAACTGGACTATGCAAGAGTATTGGGAAGTTTGATGTATATCATGAATTGTACGCAGCCACATATAGCA